TCTAGGTGTATCAACCAAGAGCAGATATAGATGGAAAATTTTTTGATGTCGAATTAAGATGAATAAATATACTCATGTTGCAGCTCATGAGCAACTTTCCATCACCATATAGTCTTTTTCCAAAAATTTTCTAGAGAGAAAAATGCGCTTATCGTGCCATGTCCTTTGTAAGAAGCCATCACACTTATTCATTATCTAGCAGACCTTCTTAATCGTGAACTTTTAAAAATTGTGCTAGAGTTCAGATTGTGAACTTCACATTCCTAACTCTCTTAATATCATTTTTAAAGTTTCATGTTTGCGTCTACATAATTCAATCGCGACTTATTTTATATTTTTCAATTTTAGCTACAATCCAAATTACTTTTAGCTATATCGATCAAGTATCAAGCTAAAAATGTTTTATAAAGTTTCGAATTCACATTGGTGTCCATCTGGTTTTCAACATGTGCTCGCAAGGAATATTTTCAATCTTGTTGTTGGCTTTATGTGTAATAAGTGTATCGATACATTTAAATCGATCAACACTATGACTGCTTCCTTTAAAAGCCTATTTTTTCAGAAAAAGAGACGAAGTAGGATTCCAGCAACAACTGCCAATGTTGAATCGACTCAAACTAATTTCTATCATGGGTGTAGGTGTTTGAGAATAGGTGTGGCATGTCGGTAAAATGAAGACTCACACCAGTACCAATGCCCACAGCCACAGCCTATCTTTTAAAAAGAAAATTGATCGTCTCCTTTTCTTTGCAAATGATTAATATCTTCCTATCAACTTTAACGAAATAACAGCAGATTATTTTTATTAAAAAAAAGATTCACATATCTTCGCTGCTTCGAGAATTAACAAAACTTCACTATTTTTAATGTTTTCTTGTCAAAAATGATCAGTCATGGTAAATTCTAAGTTATTAAATACAATGAATGTCAATAAAATCGATCAATAGTTTTTGGATAATGACAGGTGATACAAACTGAGCAATTTTGTTTCAGATATATATATATACACTGTTAAATCACTTTTTAAAGTGGTTTGTACGTATATTTATCTTTTTTTAATACAAAGATTAATCATGACTAACAAATACAATATCAATGATATTAAACATTTGAAAAAAAATGACTATTACTGACTTGTTTCAATGATTTCCTCAACCTCATCCAATTTAAGTGTTAATTCAGTTTGTTCAATAATTGAATCAAGATCCTTAACATGTGTTGTCACAGATTGACCATGAACCGCTAAAACATTCATAGAACAAAGCCATATAATTAAATTAAGAAATCGTTTCACAGAGTCATAATGACCATATTTGTAAAGAAGATATTTCCATGTTACTTCTGCATACTTGTTTTGAATCTCTAAAATATGAATAGGATTTGTTAAGTCGTTCGAGAGATTTGAATAATAACAGCAACTATTTTCAGAGAAAGCGAACAATGAAATTGACAACTTGACTAATACAACATCTGGATCAATGAATTTCCTTGTTCGAGTAGTAAGATCCACTGTACATTGTCCATACTTTACATTCATTGCTTTCAAGTAAGCATCGAGACCATATAAATTACAATGCTGTATGATGAATGCGCCACTCATGCAGGATACATTGTCAGCAGCACTACGAAGAATTATGGAACGATCATCAGATGACAAATGACGAAGATCATCATTGAAACGAAGATATGCTCCTGCTGTTTCGTAAATAGATACTAAGTGTTCTTCTATAAGTGCCGCAAAATTTTCATAATTGGATGGTAAAATATCGTATTTATCTATTAAACGTTGACTCCACAATATCATCTTAGATTCATTATAACAATTACATAAATTTGAGAGAAGTGTTCATTGATTAGTAGTTAATAATGATTGATCTGATTGTAAAAGATTTAATGTTAGGATCTAATAAATAAATAACAAAAAAATATTATACTAATAAATTGCAAGCAAATCGAAACTTGAGTTCAATTTTTTTTATCGGTTTTTTAGCGTTTACGCATCGCTTTTCGTGTAAAAAATTTCAGAAATACTACAACACCCAAAATAGTCTAAAAGTAATAATGTTTTAAGTACATATAGGGTACTGTCATATTCTTACATATAGCAGTGTTTTTGTCTTCTTGATATATTTTATTCGAAACTCTCGAAAAGAATTGCTGTATGCAAAAAAGTTTAACACTGAAAACGAAGATAAAATGGTTGAACAATTGGTACTGTCATGAATATAACTACAGACAGATCGTATGGGCTTCAAGCGGGGTACCTTCCAAAGACATAAACTCTCTATACACACGTATTTAAACGATTTTTTTTTTCATAGTTATAACCGTTATTTATATCCGAAAAAAAAGAATTATTGATTTTGAACTAGCTCCTTCTGTCGTTGCGAAATTAAACGTTTTTCAAGAATGCTATGCAAAGCCTAAAAATGAAAATATGACATGTTTAAGGTAACGGTAATTCGATATTTGAGCAAAACTTTTCTTGATATCCTTTTTTATTATGGTTCGATAGAATTTGTAGAGCTACTTATAGAAGTACTATTTTTAACATATTCAAACGATATTTTTGTAGTGAAACTTAGAAAAATCAAATTTGAAAACATCTAAAAAGCCTACCAAAAATCGCAATACGTCAAATGCTTCAAGTCTCAATAGTTTCAATATTTACCCGATTTTTGAAAATTTTACGCATCATATAGTTAGGAAAAGCAACTATGTATGCTTTTTGAAAAATACTGTTTTACTGTTGAGAAAATCTACTTTTTCGATATGTAGCAAAAAAGAGAAGTTATTGAAACCAGGTTCATATTTTGAATGTTTTACGATTAGAACTTTCATTTCGCAAGAAATGAATATCATATTCAGAGTTAACACAAAAATCATATTTAAATCTAGTAGAGTATTTTTGAAAAAAGAATTTATTTGTCAACAAAGGAAGGAGATTGTCCTAAACCGATACATTTTTTTTTTGACCGATATATGCTGGTTATAAATAAGTAAAAACAATTATTTAAATGCGTGACTATGGAGAGTTGATGCTTTGGGAAAATATCCTCTTGAAGCCTATGCGATCTATCTATAGTTCTACTCATGACAAATATTCATTGTTTATCTATTTTATCTTCTTCTTCAGTTTTTAATTTTTTTTTGTATGCAGCAAACCTTCTTGAGAGTTTTGAATAAAATATTTCGGAACGACAAAAACACTGCTCTATGTAAGAAGATGACAGTACTCTATAAGTATTTCAAACATTCATATCACTGTTAGACTAGTTTGTGTATAATTGTATTTTCGAAATCTTTTATTTAAAAATCGGTATGAAACTATTAGAAACAACATCGCTGTGGGTAACTCGACGAGGTCTATCCAACCATACCGAAAATTGACAATAAAAGAACTTTATGCAAAGTTCGATTTACCGGCACTTTAAAACAATTACTGATAACAATTTTATCGCCTACTCTATAATCAGATATTGAGCTATATAATAAGATGAAAATATTTGAAAAATTTTTCAGCGATATAAAAATGAAAACCTGAGAAAACTAATTATATTGATAAGATTTGAAATAGCTTAGTCGAAAGATGATTGTATATAATAAACGAATATTAGAAATTATTATTTCAATATCATGAGATTGTTTTTTAATAATCAGATTGACATTGAAGCAATTAAAATAAGTT